AAAAAAAAAACCCAAGTAGCACAAAGGAGATCATTTAAAGGCAGATCAGAGAGATGGCGATTTGAAATCGCTGTGCTAGGATGAAAATTGGAAAAAAAACAGTAGCACAGGCTGGTAGTGCTGGGAATCGGGTCGGTTTGCTAGCGAGAGAAGCTTAAATGGACCAACCGCTCTGAAAAGGGAAGAATATTTCTCTAGGCAGGCAAGGGTTGTCTGAAGGGAAGGCCCTGGATGCGAGCACGTTTAGGGCATCCAGAGTGGATGAACACAAGGAAAGAAAACGAAGAAAAGATTAAGTTCTCGTTATCTCAAGAGATCCGTGTTGGAAAGCCCTACGCCTGTTCTTGTTTGCGCAACCCAGTTTGCAGAGGAATGATTCGCCCGCCTGCACCCAGAGCTTCCACAGACCTGGAGCCAGAGAGTCTGCTTTCCGAGACGCAGTTCTTGTCCTGCTCTGGACTTCCTCTCCCTCATCTCTGTTCTCCGGGCTTTCCTCGGCAGGTTCCTTAGACATTCCAGAGTCCTTCCCTTCAGGCTGAGGGCTTGATTCTTGCTGAGCAAGGCTTGCCGTCAGCTCTTGAGAATCTTTGTTTTTATAAAATTTGTTTTCACACACCTGCAAATCAACAGATGGGCACACAGTTACAGACCTGGTACATCAACCCACACCTAACGCCCTTTGCTTCCAGAGCGTTCCCTGACCCTAACAAAGGCTTCCCTTTGGCAACATCTTGGCATTCAGGAAGCTCAATCATTTTTTATTCTCACAAACAGACACTGTTCTTTTCAAATAGTGGCCACACAAGCATCTTCCACTAAAAAAAAAAATAAAAAAATCTTATTCTTAACTCAGAAGAACATCACAATGGAAACTGTTTAGTTTAGTGAGGAGGGGCAGGAGGCAGCGAGCGGGAGGTGAGACAGGGGCAGGCCGGGTAGTGCGGTCAGAGCTCTGAAGAGGGGACACTACTGGTCACCTGCCGACAGAACGTCTTCCTCAACACGTTATTTCGCAGACACGAGGCCGGAGGGCCCGGCGCAACGTGGGGCTCTCGGCAGGACTCGACTTCCCGCTCGCCGATGACTTGGCCTATCAACTAACCTTACTACTACAATGGCTGCAGGTCCTCCTTTTGCTTTTCTTTAGCTTGAGATCGCTACTCCCTTCATGGCAGGAACATGAACATTCCTTCATCCCATCTACCCACTCGACCTCCTGGAAACAGACATACTCCAGCTGACACAGGCGCACGGAACACAGAGACAAGTCAGGGCAAGGTCAGAGCCCCGAGGGAGCCGGCAGGGGCCGAGCGGCGCTCGCCCGCAGAGGACGGAAGCGATCCCGCCGCACGCGGGCAAAGCACGACGGAAACATTTCGATCCCCTTGCTTCAAATCGTTTTAGGCTGCTGCTGCACCTCTCGGGAAGACGTTTCTGCTCAGGGGCATGCACGGGCTCTGCGCCCAGCTACGTGGATAGCGAGAGACCCCAGGCCCACCTTGTCGTTGTTCTGGCCTCCCATCTCTTTCCGCTTCTTGTTTTTCGAGGCCGCGTGCATCTTGGGCGGTTCATCCTCCTCTTCGGCATCTGGCAGAGACACCTCTTCAAACCCATCAAACTACAACATTTGAAAACAAAACAGACAAGCTGCTTTATCACTATAGCTCTTCAGCAGACCCAACCTCATTTTCCCCAGGCATTTGTGAATATTGAGCTCAGTTCCAGGACATGACAAGCTCAATTACATTAGAAAAGACATAAATGCTGTGAAAAAATAAAAAATTAAAATTTGAGAAGTTTGCTTCAGTCTCCCAACAGCTATCCCACCCTCCTGCTTCTCTTTCTCTCTCTGGAAGTTCAAGCTCAAAACATGTCCAGTATCTCTGCTTTTATCTTTTCTGGTATTGAACAAAAGATCGTTCCACCTCGTATTCCTTCTCTTCTGTCCAGTTAATCTCCTCAAAGTCTCCCATGCGGCTGGCCGAGGGCCGTAAGTGATCGAAGAAAACGGAGAACTCGTCTTGCAAGTGGTTGTGTCCCTTCAGCAGCTGCCACATTTGGGTCTTCAGCTGGAAGAGAGAAATCCAGAGAAAACAAGCGTTTCGTTCCACGTTGCCACGCTCTCCTCAGCGGGATTTCTCCAATCGAGCGGAGAATCAACGCTTGCTCAAGCTCCAACGCAGTTCGTGCTTGCGTTGTACTACTTTGTGAATATTTTGAGATCGTTCCACACCCAGCAACCAAATTAGCACCGAAATCACCCTCCAAAATTCCAGACAGGCTCTGCAGGAGGCACTAAGCTCAAAGTTCACCCGCACGGTGATAACAGCAAGGTGGGGGTAGGAGAGAGGAGATACAGAAGCCAGTTAACTGGAAAGCCTCTCGAAGAGGTAGCTCCAATTCTCCCCATGACAGGGAGATGGGATAAACCCTCGAGGTGTGGAAGAGCAGCACACGGGAAGGGCGGAGCGGGCTGGCTCACCGCCCTCACAGTGGGTTTGCGAGAAAGGACACACGGGCGCTCAATTACCTCCGCGATCTCCTGGGGGAGGCAGTCGGCGCAGCTCTGCAGAACTTTGATGATCTTTTGATGGTGGGCAGGGTTTTCAGCAAAACAAATCTCCAGCTGCCTGAGGAACTTGCGGCTTTTTTCAAACGCTTGCTGCTCTTCGAACTGATCAAGAGAAAACAAAGTCACCCCCGACGTTCAAGAATCTATTTCCAAGCATCTCTAGCGGGCTTAAGCAAGCTATGAAATGCCTGACTTGCTGTTTGTTTTCCATTTATACTGGCACCCAAAAAACTGAGAAGAGGCAGAGGAAGAGAAATGAGACTTTGCACAATCACTACTCGAGCTATATAAAGTTTTGCTTCAATTATACACGCGTAAGAGAGAAAAATGCAGAATGTAACGGGGGTAAACTTCCATCTCGCAAAGCAAAAGGCTGATTTGTGAGACAGGGGAACCATCCCACGGCGTCTCGGCGGCGTAACTGGGAAAGGCTGATTCTCCACACTTCGGATGAGACTTAAACCACCAGACTTCCCCATTCAGATTAATAAAACAGCAAAGGATTTACCAGCTATTCAACCTTTCTTGGCCTAGGGAGAATTCCGTACTCTTTCACTCCCAAAAGCACTCACGTGGTCTCCTCCTTTCACTCCACCTACCAGTCCACACTCCAAAGCTTGTTCTGGTAAAAGAAAGGCAGCAAAATCTGTGAGCAGCTGGGGCCAGTCATGCAACAGTTTCTGTAACGTGGAGTAGAGATCCACAGCCGTTTGCTTGTCCGTGCTGATCTCAAACTCATAGATGACGCGGAGAAAGTCTTCGTACTTTCCAGGGACGTGCTGCAAGGCTTCACGGACCTGCAAAGAGGAACAGGAAGAAAATGATTTCATGTAGTCATCTCTGATCTCTCGCTACTCAGAATTTACACAGCGCTTCTAGTTTCCCTGAGCCAAGGGAGCCTCTTTCTTCAAAGTAAATTTGAACTGCTCAGAAGAGAGTCAGATCCAGGACTCTGAAATTAAGAGGCCCAGTGTCGCGGACTGGCTGCAGGCGGCAGCT